GAACTCTCAATTCAGAGAAAAATCAAGAGGATTCTGAAAGGGTTCATGTGAAATTACAGAGAGGAGTACACTATTCAACAAGAAACGCAGCCTTCAGCGTCAAATTCACAAGCATGTAACCTTTAAAGTTGAGACACGCTAAACAATTTTACACTTTTTGGAAAGAAAAGCACGAGGATTTCGAATCTGCTCCTACTTTAGTATATAATCGCCCCTGAAAGGAGCTATAGTCGTTGAAATAGTGCCAATGCAGCGAAAAGTACCTTTCGGCGGTACTCGGGCAAAAATCCTCAACGTGGGGGGGGGGGGGGGGGGTCGTAATTCCAAATTTTCCTCGACGGTTCGCATGATCCTGGTGTGGCCATTGGTGGTGAAATTCTCCAAGGAGTACACCTCTGCTGTGATCAAGACCATCAATCCAAGCAGGCTGTGAAGACAGACGGGAAGAAAGGTACTGGACAACACCATCAGTGTAATCGCTGCAGTCTATTTGCACAGAAATATGAAGAACGACTTTTATTTGTATCATGACCATGTCATGATATCGGTTGCGGAAGACCGTTACCCCGCCACCCTAGGTAAGTTGAGTGGCCTGAATTGGGGGCACGAAGATGGGCGGATAGGTATAAAGAAACACCGAGAGGGAGGGGTTTCTCAGCTTGGCCACAGCTTAGGGCATGTTCTTCACGAAATGGGAGGCTCAGAAGTTAAGCTGCAACAATGGACGGAGGCAAGAAAAACGATAAATTTGCTCATAAGAAGGCCATCCTCAAAAGCTGTAAAGGAGATTCAGATGCTTCCCGATGAAGATTGCTGTCCTGCCAGGCATTGCCATGGTCTCCTCGAGAAGGCAACAGTACGAATTTAGCAAGGACGGTGGTTGAAGTTGCAGCAGACGCAGAAAGACGAGGGGAGCTGGTCTTCCAGATCAACACGGACCATTCCAACGGACCTAGAATGCGTAATGAAGGTACCCTCCCTTTCAAGAAAGGAGAAGAGCGTCCGGTGCAGACCACACACCACAAGTGACGACGGCCTCCACAAAATGTAAATGTTTTCTGCCAATGAAATGAATAGCCTGTTGCAGTTGTATTCTATCAGTTGTCACTAATTACAACTATCATTTACCAAAAAACAGGGTCAACCCTACGTTGTTACGAGTAACAACGGGGGGGGGTCGTACTCAGTTGAGCTTGGAGGGGGGTCGTACCCTCTCGGTGGCCGACAGTGGGATTCTTGGTAATATCGGATAATAGCCAGCACGTTACGTTTTCGTAAGATGACTGATACTAGAGCATCTATAAACCACGCTTCCCTCTAAATGAGCTTTCAAATGAATCAGCGAATTAGAAGGGCGCCCGAGGCGTGGCGCGCACCAAGGCAAGGGATGTAGTGCAAGCGCATGCTCGAAGCTTTCTAGCACATCCTTAAGTTAAACATAAAATTGGTCTTCCAAGAAGTTACGGGCAGTGAAACTAAGAAAACCCGCGTTTTTATGAATGACTTTGAAGGAAGTTATGATCGTTTAAAGGTCAAAAAGTCGCTTTGCACAGAAAAAAGTAACAACGTACTAAATTTTTATTAAATTAACTTTCGAAGAATTTTTACCCATGGTTGGAGAGAGAATAATTTGAATTTTCCAAATCAAATCACTTCGGCGCAGAAGCTCGAATATGAAGGAAGTTATAGCCTTAGAAAGAGGGGTGTAAAAATTGTGTTGCAATTGAAGAACGTGAAGGATTTCAGTATTTCAATTGGAGCGATAATTTTTTCTGACTTCTCATAAGTTTTTATCAGTAATATATTAGGATGGTGAACACCGTCTCTTCACAAGTGTCACATTCAAGGGGGGTCGTATCAAATCACCCATGAAGGGGGGGGGGGTGTAAAATGGTGAAACTCCAGTTCGGGGGGGCCACTCCATTTTTTCTCCAATACTCAAGATAAGGATTAGAGGGCTCACGACACGTAATCGACTCATTTAAAGTAGACTTCTGATAAATATTGGTGTAATGGGTGAGAAACCCTGAAACGTTTTCACATTTCCGCCTGCCATGACCCAAGGGAACGGTCCTGGACCAGGAGAAAGGACACCTCCGCAAAGGGCTAAGGGTGCAGGAGCTCCAGGGTGGATCACCTGTGCAGAAAAGTGGATGGGATGTGGGCAGGTAGTGTGGAATGTAGGACATCCACCGGTCCTTATCAAAAGTACGCTCGAAATGAGTCGTTCACTTATTATCTTATCCGTAGTGTTCGATAGCCCAAAGAACTGCTCTCTAGTACTACGGATAAGATAGCAATGGAGTGGCCCCCCCGAACTGGAGTTTCACCAAATTTCTAAAGTAACCACGAAAGGGTTGACCTGCTATGAACCACTACTAACCAGATCTACTTGGATACCGTCGTCACTTGTGGAACCAGGGGACACGCGGTCCATGTGCGTGGGCTTTGGCACAAAGTTCAGGGCCGGCAGATAGAAAAGGGAAGGCACACAAGCGCAGTTTTAGGGAGTGCGAAGCTTCTACTGTTCAGAAGATGTAAAGGGACGAAATTGTTCGCCATCGTAGGATCCTGTCCATTAAAACCTTAACTACAGCGCGCGTTTCGGCTTTTTCCGGGGCAGGAGCGATTTTGCGAGCGCCGTTTTCTCGCCTCGTGGCCGTGAATTGTGAGCGATACTAGCAAACACTGAGGTGAAACGAGACCGATTGGTCCAGATGAAATGCTTGGAGTTAATCGAGGCTATAAAGTGAAATCCTCTTAACACGTTGACGACAGCGTGACGCGGTAACGCGTCCCACTTTGCGCACCTCGTGGGACATTGTGACGCGGTAACGCGTCCCACCCAAGTCATCCCTTTTTCTTGCGCTTGCGCGACTTATTCCTAAGGTCTTTGTACTCATTCTATAGGTACATTAGCATACTTAAAAACCACATGGCACAGAAAGGCCAAATATTCTTTAGTTTGGCAGAGGTTTTCCAGACCTTACGGATATGTCTGTTCAGTTCATTCCTCGTTTTCTTTTCATCAACGTAACATGTTGATAAAAAGGAATAATAGAAGCGAATACAAACCTATTCGTATGGGAAGATGTGTTTTTACTGAAACAACCACCATCCAAATTGGTTTTTTGGAATCACTAAAAAGAAGTTGAGTAAAATCTGCCTTTTCGTGGCCTTAACACGTCATTTCGATAGAACTCTCATCACTGTAACTCCCCATAAATTAGACAGATCGGAAATGTTCATTGAAAACACTTCATCGCATCTAAAGTATTGCGTATTTACAGCTCAAAATCCATGGATTTGGTGTGCGGCGGCGCTCGCAAAATCGCTCTGGTCCCACGCGGTGCAAAAACCCAAAACGCGCGATGTCGTCAACGTGTTAAAGGGAGCGTGTTCATGGCATGAAAAAAGATGACAAATGTTACCTACCTTAAAAGGGAGGAAAAATATTTGTTTCTTCTATCCGCTTTGGGTTGGATTACATCGCCAACAAACACTTCTTTAATCATGACAATAATAAGAAAAAGACGAATGAACCGAGCTCTCCATTTCGTAGCGCTTAGAAATTCTCGGCTAAGCTGATATACGGCGAACCATGTCTTTAACAGTTATGTAGTAATGTCATCCATAGAATGAATACAAATATTTTTTCAGCAATAAGTCGTGCAAGCGCGAAAAAAGGGTGGGGACGCGCTACCGCGTCACGCTGTCGTCAATGTGCTACAATCGTACACGCATTCACAAATATGTGACCACTCTAGCCATAGTTCTAGGCTCTTTATAATCTGAAACCTGTAGAGGCGAAATCGAACGTACAAATTTGAACAACTCATTGAAAGCGAGCAACAAAAGAGAAGCAGCACATTTATTGCGAGCACATAAATTTGTACATATAAATTTTATAAATTAACACAAAACGAGGTGTTTTCAGTGGTGTGTCATAGATTCTGCAAATTGAACAATGGATCATACGTCATTGGTGGAGGAAAGTACGCAGCTGCACTACCGTAACCGAATGCTTGCATATCAGGGAACGGTGTTTCGATGCTCAGATTTGGTTTCGAATCACATCCGCTTGACGCGTCGTCGCTTTCCGATTTTGCTGAGTTTCTGAAAAAAAGAACGTCAACCAAATTCAAGCTTAGTAACTGGAAAAAAGCTCAAAAAGGACCATGTGGGGTCTTGAAGGAACTTCAGGGAGACCCGGAGAATACAAATTTGAATATCATCATAACGATTGAAGGGCGTATAGAGATTCCTTCTTCAAATATTCTATGTCCAATATTTTTCTCTGGACACACAAAGTGAAAGAAGTATTCGCTGTAGTTCATCTTGCAACTCGCCACGCAATCCTTCTCGATTCGGAATCGCGGTGGCGTCTTGACTGTGATTCTGCCTACACAGTGAATTGCCGGGGGCACTGCCATACAGGGGGGGCCAAAAAAAGACATTTTGCCCAGGTCGCACTTCGGCCTTTTTTCTTCGCAGAGATTGCCGTCGTTGACGGAAGTTCCTCAGCAAAATATTCCCTAAATGTCCCTCTATAAGTACACGCAGGCCCTCCTTCACTGCCCTCACCGTCTTCAGAATATGACGTCATCTGTCACCGTCGTCGAGCTCAGGGAGGCCTACAGTAACTGCTTCAGCCTGAAGCTCTTACATAATTTCTTGGATCGATTCAACGTGGGATAGTTTCCTAGGGACATTAGCTCTAACTATGCAAACCCCTCGGAACCCGCCCTTCGGAACCCGTCGTAACGGTACACGATCAGTCGAGAACCCCATTGAGCTCGACCAGAGCACCATGTTTCCGGGCAAACTTTTCTGAGCTCGACCAGAGCACCATGTTTCCAGGGCAAACTTTTCTGATGCCGTCCACGTAGATGGCCACTATGAAGATTTTCTTATGAAATGAAATGCGCTCTTCAATTCTAAGTTGGGAGCACACGCTTTGAGCTGAGCAAAGTGTGATTAAATCCATTTGAGTCTGGAGACAAAATGTCTTTTTTATTGCCCCCCCCCCTGTATATTATAGAAAGATACCAAGGTCACATGGAAGAGTTCTTAGTTCAATGCGGGCCTGGTAGCAACTGAATGGAATAATCAGCCGGCCTCAGCCATCCCGGTTTTTAGTTGGACATCTCGAAACGACTACTGTACCGTTCTTAGCGCTGACAGTGACAATGGCAGAGGCAGTCTAGAAAAGGGCTTAAAAGAGCTTTCACGCATGGATCATCCCAAAAACGGAAAATATGAAATACCGCAATAGCGTTAAAAATTATCAGCTGCAAATTTACAGGTCGCTCATTTATTTTCAGTAGAACGTGCTCGTTTTATCGTTTCAACAACATTTTCGGCATGTACGGATCGATTCCTTGATTTGGAACACTTTTCTTCGAAATTTCTTCTCCAGCTGATTAAGTCCCTTTTAGGAACACCCCGATGGTCTGGCTTTGAGAAGCGGTGGTTGCTTTGTGGTGAACGCGTTCGGGATGTCTCTTTGTTCACCCGGGATACGGTACATATGGAACCCGCGGTTAGAGCAAACTTAGTACGAGGAACAATAGGGGTGAAGCGTGTTGTCTTAAGGGGCCTCTTGAGAGGTGTCGCGACCACGGTGGATGTCAGTTCAATCGGATCACAATTGGAGGCTCGAGCCGTTTTCGAGAGTTATCTGCTTCGCCGTTCGATTCAGAATTAGAAGATTTTGGCGCTCCCCATTCGGATGCAATCGTAACTGCTTCGCGACCGCGCGCCTAATTGTTGAGTGTTGAAAACTCGCAAGAGTTCCAAATTCATCGTC